AATTCTGCATTAAACAAGCAGCTGTGCAGGAAGCAAGGTTAACAAATTTCAGGGTGCTTCCAGGGAGACCACAATGACAGATTTCCCGCGGTTGGAGCAAGACAGCTGCTGGCAAGGCTACACAGAAAACTCAGAAGAGGGAAAGTCTCAGGCTATGTCTACACTATGGCTACATCTAGACTGGCGTGATTTTCCGCAAATGCTTTTAACGGAAAAGTTTTCTGTTAAAAGCATTTGTGGAAAAGAGCATCTAGATTGGCACACGCTTTTCCACAAAAGCACTTTTTGCGGAAAAGCGTCCGTGCCAACCTAGATGCATTTTTGCGCAAAAAAGCCCCGATTGCCATTTTTGCGATTGGGGCTTTTTTGTGCAAAACAAATCTGAGCTATCTACACTGGCCCTTTTGCGCAAAAGCTTTTGCGCAAAAGGGCCAGTGTAGATAGCTCAGATTTGTTTTGCACAAAAAAGCCCCAATCGCAAAAATGGCAATCGGGGCTTTTTTGCGCAAAAATGCATCTAGCAAATGAAGTGCGGATTAGCATTTTTCTTGTGCCCCATTTGCATACTTCCTTTCCATTTTTGCACAAGGGGCTTTTGTGCAAAAACAAGCAGTGTGGACGTTTCCTTTTTGCGCAAAAAAACCTTTTTACCCAAGATCGTTAGACCTCCTTTTTTTGAGGCATAAGGCTTTGCACAAAAAGAGGGTTTTTGCACAAAAAGGAAACATCCACACTGCTTGTTTTTGCGCAAAAATAGATCAGAAGAGATTATGCAAATGAAGTGCAAGAAAATGCTAATCCATGCTTCACTTGCATTGCCTCTTCCAGCAAAACTGATAGTGTAGACGTAGCCTCAGAGGGGTAGCCATTTTAGGCTGTAACTTAAAAAAAACCCAAAACACTAATGGACCTGCAGCACCTTCGAGGCTAACAAAAGCATAAATAGTATCAGGAGCTTTCCTGGGCACAACCCACTTTAATGGTCTTGCAGCACCGTAAACTTAATTTAAGGTTTTGTTTTTTTCTTCGGATGAGGAAATTAGCCTTCCAGCCAGCTAACAATTTTGGAAGCTCCTCAGGGCAAGGATCATGTCCCCCTTTGTGTGTCAGTGTAAGAATTTCAGGATTGTTGTTTTTTCTATTTTACAAAGGCATGTGCAGGCATTTTTTCAGTCACACCAATCATCCATTGGTTCCTGTCCAGTGCTGTAACAGCAGGGTAATTTTTTCAGGAGTTGTACTGGAAAAAGAGAAGGGCTGTTCTTCTAAGCTCCTGCCTTCCTGTGCTTTACTTCTGCCAACTAAGTACAGTCACTATCTCAGCTTCCCTCAGACTCTGTGCTGTTGTCCCGGTTAGGAACAGTGACCAAATGCAGGCACATGTACACCCAAGGGTGCGCAAGAACCCTACTGCCTCTGCTGCTAGTTATATCTCCACCATCTGGGAAAACACATCCCTGATGCCACTTGGCCCTAATGAGCCAGAGTTTCTTGGGTGGATACTGACACCGCTAATTGAAGATAGAAGTTGTAGAGGTCCTGGCTGAATAAATCCAAACTCAATAGAAACTGTGCTGGGTTCAGTCTGGGTCCTTCTCATTCTAGATGGTTTCTAACATAATGAAGTTGTCAAAATTACTTTCCTCCCCACAGACTGGCATTCCCATCAGGAGTCAGCAACATGTCCCCCCCTCCCCCGGCAGGTGCATCCTGGGCTATGTTTGAAGAACTTATTCATTTAAAAGAATTAAAATGAAGCTTGACTTCAGTTACTCAAGTATCCAGAGTTCTCCATCTTACTGAATGTCAGGTGTTCCCAGCAGCTTTAACTTCCGTGCAAAAGTCTTTGTGATAAAGTCTGATGAGGTAGTGAGACAGGGATTTTGGAACACAGCTGCAATGGAGCTTGGAACTTGCTAAATCTTATTTTCTGGAGCCTTTAAAGTCTTGAAATGGCATGAAAATAGAAGACAGGTGTGGGATGTACCAGACAGACTATGTTAAACATCTGGGAGATAACAGAGGCTGCTTGCCTCCCCTGATCATCATGCCTGTCCATCGACCTGTTTTTAAAGGATGTAAAGAACTGAATGCCTTTAGGACATGTTAGAAGTTAATTCAATTATAAGAATTAAAAAAAAATCACTACATTTGTTTTCTCTAGTAACAGACCCCTCACTCGCCAGAGTTTACTTAACTAGCAATGCCCTTATATAGCCTTCAGCAGCATAATACCAAATAAAGGATGTTAAGAAGCAGGTAAATGACTAATCATGTACTCAACACAATTTGTATCGAATACACGATTAGTCGATAAGCTGCAGCTCTGCAGTTTAAACATAGTAGGAGTTGGGCATGCAGGCAACCTGGCTCCCACTACATTTAAACTGCAGAGCCTTCTGGTCCGGGACCCAGAACAAGCCAGGCCTCAGCAGTCCCGGCTCACACCAGGTACCTGACCCCTGCAGTTCTGCTTTTTAAATGTGGTAAGAGACTGGTAGCTCCCCTACAGTAGCTCTGCCTTTTAAATGTAGTAGGAGAGCTGCCAGGCTCTTACTACATTTAAAAAGCAGAGCCACAGCTATCTGGGACCTGGCGTGAGCTGGGATTGCTGAGTCCTGGCTCATGCCGAGTCTCCCCTGCAGCTCTGCCTCCCCTGCCCTCCATCCTGCACTGTAGAGACGATGCTGGGGGGAACTGGCTTTTAAGCTGGCTCCCCCTCCTCCCCCCCCCACACACATCAGCTCCT